TAAACAAGGAAGATAAAGCTAATCGAAAATCAATGCTATCTCTTAAACGCACAAATTTTGCAAAATAAGAAAAACAAATAAGAAAAAAGATAAATAGATGTTTATATATTATATTATACTATACTTTAAATATCAAAAATAACTGTCTAAAATAAAATAAAATAGATTAAGAATTAAGTACTAGCGTCATTTCTTAAGTATTTTGAAAAGATATTTCTCAATGCAGTCGAGAGATGGCGCTAAAGGTTAATTCTTATTCAATCTCTATCTTTTTCTTATTATTTGCTTTCTTTATTTATATAGTTTCATTTACGGCACTCTAGAGATGGCGCTGATTTCACAATTTTTACTCTATTTCTGTCCTTTTTCTATTGTTTATTCTCTTTGTTTATTACACAAAATTTATGCGCTCAAGAAATAATTCCAATTTTAGCATTTTCGTTGTTTAAACTATTGATTAAAAATTTTAACAGAATCTATTCAAATTACTATATATCGTAAGTATATACAGTTTTGATCCAATTAAGCAATTGTTTTTAGATTTGAAATTAATTATTTATTATCTCTTCTTTATTTAAAATCTTGTGCAAAGTGAAAGATTCAAAAACAAATGAGAGATTCATGAAAGCAAAAAGTTATAAATATTTATGTGTATTCGGAATCAAAACAGAGTAAGAAAATATATCATATTCTATTTTTTTTTTCAAAAAATAATATTACTATTGATATAAGTTATTTTATTTTCTATTTCGAACTTTTTATTCGAACAAAGTCAAGCGGAATAATATATTTAATCTACAATAAGATCAAGCAAATTTTATGCTTATTTTGGAGCAAAATTGTACTTACTTGAATACTTACGTAAATATATTAACGTATTTCCAGTGAAACATTAAACTGTAATAAAATTTAAAATATTTTATGGCTGCATTTCGCGCCGAGAGAAGGAAACTCGTACCCCATTGGCTATTAGATTCCGCCAACGGTGGTGGAGTTACCAATCCTCGACACAGTATTTCGTTTTAAAAATTTAATATTCAAATTAAATAAATATTTCAACAATCAGTAAATCATTATAAAAATATTAATTATAATATTAATTACAATAATAATATTTTAAATATTTCAGAATCAAATCTGTAGTAATGAAAGTATTAACAATTGTATATAATGCTAAAAATTAAAAAATATTTTATTATTTCAATCGTAATAATATTTATTCATAAATAATTATATTAAAATGTTTCGCATTGGCAAACAATAATTGGATCCTTTTCGGGACGCTGTGTACAGCCGAGAAAAGAGAACGTGTAAAAAGAGCATTAACTTGCAGACTACGACCTTGACCGAAGCAGTGTCCGCGCCTGAAGCACATACATATGTACTTACATACGAATGTTCGTATGTACGTCTAGCGTTTCAAGGAACTTTGTTCCTTCAGATTCTCACTGGTTACCTCCCTTTGTATGACATTTTTATATACATTAAAAATTAAAATCTTACGTTAAGAATTTTATGTTATGATCAAATATAAAAAGCTATTTATTTTTAATATCGACATAATATATCTTTTTAATATATTTTTCAAGTTATTTAAATATAATAGAATAAAATATTATTCTAAAAATTCAATTATTCATATTATTTGCAGCAGTTGCAGCCAATGCTTTTCAATGATACCATGTTGGAGAAAATCGGAATTCAGAATATAATATAATATATATATTGAATAGATAAAGATAAAAGAGAGGAAAAACAAAGAATCCAAACTAGTTTTTTCTCCATATATTTTTTTTCAAAAATATTTAAAAAAGATAAAATTATGGAGAATTATAAAAATATCCTTATATTCCATTACATCGATGTTACTATAAATTCTTTGATTATTTCACACAAAATCTATGATCATTAAACCATAAAATATAAAAAACATAGATAATATAATTACTAGATACGCTTACGATACTATGAAAATATCAAAATTTCAAAGAAAAAAAAAGATTTTATTCTTCGATTATCTTTATCGACAGATAACTATGAATTAAAAAATTAATATCGCTTTCAAAAAGAAAACCTTACCTTCAATCAATCAAATCATCGTTGACATTTCTCTGATATCCTCATTATTTGTGATCGCCGACAAAACTTTAAATACACATCACCCGATCAATTCGCCGGCACGTTCCGTGGCTGTTTCGTGGCCGGCGCGTATTTCGATAGCTAAGCCGATGGAAGAATCGCAACGTATATGCGAATGAGTCGAGATCGAATTCGAAGGCGAGCGTAATAATTGCAGCCGGCGCGACGGCTGAAGGACCTCCGACTGCACGTATAACTTGCGCTCCGCCGGTTACCGGCTAGTCGACCGAACGAAAAACAGACAAAGAGTCTTCTTGCGCCGTGAGTAACGCCGGCTCGCTCGGCCAATCAGAGGAATCGGCACGATCGCGGCCC